GTGTCTCCTTGCAATTATTGTATTGCATTATGTGATACCTGTATTTAGCCTAATTATCCCCTCATTTGAGCACCTGACCTCTGGATCAATAGTTTTGAGGGGGGGGGAAAAAGAGAGAAACTTTGAACTTGTGTCTCCTTGCAATTATTGTATTGCATTATGTGATACCTGTATTTAACCTTGGAAGATTTTCATGACCGGCCGGTCTGGACTGGCCGGTCACCCGGGCATGACGCCCGGGGGGGTCTGACGCCCGGGTGACCCGGTCATGGCAAAAAAAAAAAAAATAATAAAATTGGTGGTGGGGTTTTTCCGCGCTCTCCGAGAGCAGCCCAAATCCGGGCTCTTTTCTTTTTTTGAGAGTTGGCTGTCAAGGGGGGGAAAGGGGAGTGTAAATGAATTTTAAAGGGGTTAAAGGGGTTTAAACTTTAAAGGGGGGTGCCTTAGTGTGATATGGTTATTTTCTTTGTTATGTTTAGTTCTGTGAGGAATTCTGATGTGACCCTCAGCCAAAAGTTGTTTGTATTGCAATTCTACACAACATATTTTCTTTTCAGATTTTTTTGGACTTGATTTTTTTTTTTTTTTTTTTTTTTTTTTTTTGCGCTGAGGCTGCCCGGGGCCATGCCCGGGGGTCATGCCCAGGGGTCATGCCCGGCGGGTCACCCGGTCGCCAATCCGGGCGTGACATCGGGACCCGGGCGCCCGGGATATCTCCCTAGTATTTAACCCAATTATCCCCTTCATTTGAGTGCCTGACCTCTGGATCAATAGTTTTAAGTCTTTACCTAGTTTAGAAAAGGAAGACTGCAAATGTTCCAGACATAAAGTGCTGTTTACCATTCCTCAGCGGGTGAATGCACGTATCATAACCGTCTTCCCAAAAATTGAACTTGGTATATTCTGTTGTTAACTTGTGATTGTGCATGCTCAGCAACACTTACTGGAGAAGAGAGCATTGAAGATTTTCGACCACGATGGGTTGGCCCCAACATGTCAGAACCACCATTTAATGCGCCTAACGAAGAAGTTTTGGAGACGATGAAGAGGTATATGCAGGAGGCACTCAAACAGCGTGACCCAGTTTGGAATGACAACTCATCAGGCGACGATGACGTATCGGAGGAGACAGACTCTGGTGAAAGCGCTCCTGGAACTTACGCTGCAAGTTCTTCTGACGATCAAGGGAGCGGTGTTGTTTCTTCGTCATCACCGACACCCTCCTCTTCTCCTTCATTGTCTTTCACGTCGTTTTCAGACATGGTCTCCGAGATAGAGGGAAAGCGTGGAAGAAATCCTGTGAGCGCCCAAGGATGGACAAGAGCTGATGGACCCAGCGGAGCTCGCCAGGAAACTCAGAAACTGAGGAGTGGCGGCGCGGACGTTGGAGCGACAGATGACCCGAGTCTGACAGATGACAGCCCATTGCCATTGAGAGTGCCACAGAGAAGTGCTAATCGGGAGTCCATCGTTACCGACCGTCTTCGCACGGATTCAAAAGACAAGTCTGCAATGAAGCGCACTGAACGCGGTAATGCAACGGGTGATCTGCTAACTGGCAAAGGAAGTGGTGATACACAATGGAGCAACATGAAGGACTGGGTGGCAAAGAAAAAGCGTCGTTTGAGAAAGGTCGATCCGAAATACCCACACATGGAAAGATGGACTGATGAGATGTGGGAACGGTATGAGGAGGAAACGGACCCACAAGTTCGGGCAATACTCAAACAAATGGGAGCAGATCTTAAGCAGTGGGTTTCTGAGACAGCTGTACAGGGAGAGCTGGAAAAGCAGAGGCAGTTTGAAGAGGTAAGAGAGAAATGGCGGGCGGAACTGCGTGCTGAGAAGAAAAAGATCGGCTTGGAAGGGATGATCAAGAAGTATGCTACCTCTAAGGAGGAGATATTGAAAAAAAAGGAGGAGGAAGCGGCATCATGGATTAATCTACCTTACATCCTGGTAGGTGCCCAACTCAGTCCTCTGTCTGGCCTGGACTGTGGGGCTGGGGTCAAACAGACCAATGAAGGTATGAATGTAAGGAAGGCACTTAGTGTGCGGGGGTATTCAACTGCAGGCAGTCTCTCACGGACTTGTTTACGATATCTTTCACAGTCGAGTTGGTGAAAGAGTGCCTGACAAGTCTGCAAAACGATGCTGCAGAAATGATCTGTGTGTGTGTGTGTGTGTGTGTGTGTGTGTGTGTGTGTGAGAGAGAGAGAGAGAGAGAGAGAGAGAGAGAGAGAGAGAGAGAGAGAGAGAGAGAGAGAGAGAGGAGGGGGGGGAGGGGGGTGGAATGGAGGAAGGAGACGTTGAATTGTTTCTTCCTTGTGGTATGTTTCTTGAGTTCTTTTCTTTGGTGTGCAACCTTTGTCGTTTTGTGTGTTTTGAATCCTGTGATGACTATCTTTGATTATGGCCATGCATGCTGTGCACTGCCAGGGAGTGGAGCTGCAAAGATTTGAAGATGGGAACGAGGAGGGGGATGTTGGTCTCTACTCCCTCAATATGGCCCCTCCGAATCAAGAACAAAAGCCACATGTTGTTGGATTTGAAGACAAGGATGATGCCATGAAATTCTGCTGGCTCTTGCAATCAAACTATGAGGAAGGGTTTTCACCTTCCGTACGGGCATTTCCTCCCAAGGTGCGTCTTCTTCTTCATCAGCAAGGAATAACCAACTGCTCCATTCACTTTTTTTTTTTTTTTTTTGGTTGCCCTGTATCTCCCTTGCTCTTGGCCATTCATCATATTTGTCTTTCGCTATTTCTGGCATTTTCTCAGTTTTGTCCTTTAGGACATCTGTTAAAATTTGAGTGGTACACAGAAGATTAGCGCGGCATGGATACAAAGGATGACGAGCACAACTGAAAAACGATCCAATAAAGAAAAACAACTCTCAGGTCCCCTTAAAGAAAAAAGGTCTCTCTCTCTCTCTCTCTCTCTCTTCCCCCCCCCCCCCCCCCCCCCCAAAAAAAAAAAGGAAAAAAAAAAAGGAAAAAAATCTATTGCCGCTGACAGTGCAATGCACATGCATTAGCTGAAGAGTCGTTTCTGTGGTGCAGCGTCTTATTATATTCTCCTCAGCGTGCAAGTTATTGCTGTAGATTGTCAGTTGTACTATGGGTGTACCTGGTCCTTGTAGGACTGGGGATTCAACCTTTGACATATGAGTGATGTAGTTCGGCATGTAATTTTCTCCATCTCTTGTTTCTTTTTCTATAATAGTAGGCCACGAGTGCTGCCCTGGTCCGAGCAGCCTGGACCCACTCGCCTGGGGCATCCTGGCAATCCAAGAGACACTTGTGTTTTTGGACTCGGAAAACTCACGGAAGTCTCAAAATTGAACTTTAAGCCCTAGGGGGCTTGGCCTAGTGAAACTGTTTGGCTGGCCGAAGAAAAAAGAAAATTCTGCTGCGCCAGTTTGTTTCCCTTTTTTTGGAGCCCAGCACAAAGTTTCGTTGGGAAAAAGAGGCTCGGAGGTAGTGGTGGTTTGAAGAAGGCATTTTGATATTTTTCCGAAGAAATTGTGACAAAAGAATTGGAGACCAGTAAACCCCACTAGATCAGGATTTTGTCATCAATCAGGCAGACTGCATGCCGAATTGGTTTTATGACTTTATGACTCTAATTTGAATTTTGGAATACGAATTCGCCCACTTGAAAACGAACTTCCTGGCCACTTTGTGTTTTTTTTCTTAGTTTCCTTTTCCCTTTTGTTTGAACTGTACTGTTTCTGTGAATGTTATTGCGTTTTTGTTGCAACAGGTTTTGAGAGATATTGCAAATTCCTCTGGCTTTGGAATCACGGTTGTACGTCGGGCCGATCTTGACATCACATCCAATATGGACATGGAGGAGATGGAGCGTCAACTGATCATGATGGGAGGTGGAAAGTACTGGGAAGGGGTTCTGAGCGATGAGGAGATCGCACGCCAGTTCAAGGAGTTCCAGGAGCGATCGACGTCGATGTAATAATCAGCATTGACATAATGTTCGAAGTTTTCGCTATGGAGTGTTCTTCTTCGGAAACCAACAATGGCAGCAAGGGATGAAGTGGCACGCACATGACGGTAAGCATTCACTGAACCTTGGTGTTTGATCCAACACCTCTGCATATTACTGTGCCAGGTGCCTGGCAGGTCTGGAAGATCTGGATCCCAGTCTGGATGTCTGGACCTGGATGACTCCACACGCGATTGGGACACAGGTGTTCAGGCGTGTTGAGCCAGAGTGTTTTTTTTGTTTTTCCTCCCAAATTCCGAACAAGGCGTCGTCGTTGCATACCGAAACCAGACCTGGCGAGGGCCAGTTGACGGCCAGAGAAATGTTCCAAAAAAAGAACTGCTGACTGCTTTCCAGATCGAAGTTCAGTGGTTGTGATTATAAGCCCATGTTCGTTTTGTTGAAAAACGAAAAATCAAATTTCTTACAGCTGGTACACCTGTGAAGTGTTGAAACATGGACTTGAGTTTGAATCTAGATGGAACTAGGTGAATGAAATATAAGTTATATAACTGAATTACCTGGGACCGGTCAGCTCAGTGATGATGTCTCAAGGCCGTCACACTTTGAAACACAGATGGAAAAGAAGGAAAATTAATAAATTACTAGGGGACCTGTTGCGGCTACGCCCGCCATAAAAATGAAAAGTTTGCCAAGAAGTTGATGGACTCTCTCTCTCTCTCTCTCTCTCTCTCTCTCTCTCTCTCTCTCTCTCTCTCTCTCTCTCTCTCTCTCTCTCTCTCTCTGCGTCTTACTTTTTTTTCCCCGAAATGACTTGTGCTTCCGGTTTCTTTTATTTCCGAAATCGCTCATGCTTCCCTTGTTTTTTTTTTTTTTTCCATTGAACTGATCAGTATGCGAACGGATTTTCCGTTTTCTTTTCCCTTCTTTTTTAAAGTTCTTCATCGACAACGGATCAGATATGAAACTGACCGGAACAGATGGTACACCTGATTGTGGGGGGATGGTCGAGTTTCTCTCTTTCTCTCTCTCTCTCTCTCTCTCTCTCTCTCTCTCTCTCTCTCTCTCTCTCTCTCTCTCTCTCTC